GTTCGATGGCCGGGCCAGCGCGCGTGCAATCTGCAGGCGCTGGGCCTGTCCGCCCGAGATCAGCGATGCGTTCTCGCCAAGGGGTGTGTCATAGCCGTCTGGGAGCGACATGATGAATGTGTGGAGATTGGCGGCCTGCGCCGCGCAGCGGATGTCCTCGTCAGAGAGAGACGGGTGGCCGTAGCGGATATTCTCGGCAATGCTCGCGTCGAAGAGGTGCGGGTGCTGGCTGACGATGGAGATGTGCTCGCGGAGGTGGTGGACGTTGATGAGGCGGGTGTCGAGGCCGCCGATGGTGGTGGTGCCCCTGGTGGGTTCATAGAGGCGCTGCAGGAGGGACGCGACGGTGGATTTGCCGCAGCCCGAGGACCCCACGATCGCGACGCATTCGCCTTGCGATATCCGCAGGTTCATATCCTTGAGAATAGGCGCATTTGGGCGGCTGGGGTACGCGAAGTCGACTGCGTTGAAACATATATCTCCATCGATGCTGGGGCAAAGCGACCCTCGAGATTCACGGGAGTTGGTATCCAGCTCAGTGAGTTTGATCAGATCGCTTGCGGCTTGGCTGGCTTTGGCGATTCGCTCAGCTGAGGTTACAAATTAGTATATAGAAGTGGATGTGTAAGCGAAGACGACTCACTGAATGCCATGAGTTGCGACCCAATGGTAACAGAAAACACAACGAGGTCGAGGACTTCAACCATTTGCAAGTATGTGTACGTTCCACGCGCAATGAGAACGGCACCGACGTAGAACAGGAGCGCCTCGGCCAGGTATATCAGTCCGCTGGCGATTCCATGCGTGCATCCTTCGACAAAAGCGCCGCGAACGCCGGTAGTGAGTGAGGTCTCTGTCGCGTCTTCGAAATCTGTCCTGAAGACAGAATCAAAGGCCATAGCACGGATCGCACGGATATTGATGATAGTCTGTACAAGCGGTTAACCAAGGTGTGGCAGATAAATAAATAAAATGACCTACGTTGTAGTATCCGCGCGAAACCTCCTCGCGCGCGCGCTTATTCCGCGCCTCACAGCGCGCAACGAGGCTGCTCTGCACTGCCATAGTCACTGCGAACACCGGCGCGATCGCGAGCCCCGCTAGCGTAAGCTGCCACCCCCTCGAAAAAGCCCATACAAGCCCCACACCGAGCATGGCGAAGACGACGCAGAACTGACCCCACACGACTGCGATGAGGTCCCGCGCGTCGTCGCCGTCCTTCACGAGCCGCTGCACGAGCTGCGCGGGCGCGTGCTCTGCACCGTCGAACCACGCCTTGTCCTGACCGAGGACACGACTGAGCGCGCGCGTGCGCGCGGCGGTGACCCACGCCATGCCCACTGCTTCCATAATCACGTATTTGAGGCCGAGGAGGAGCCCGTCGAGTGCCGCGACGCCGAGGACGAGGCCGCCGAAGGTGTTGATCACGCGCACGTTCTGCGCGCCGGCGGAAACTTCGAAGAGGACGCGCGAGAGCAGGAACGAGAACAAGGGCGTCATGGCGCCGCTGAGGACGCAAATGGCGAGGCCGGCGAAGGGGAGTGGCTTGTGCGGGAGCTGCGGGTATACGCTGCGCATGAGCGCGATGAATCCTGGGCGGTAGTCGTCGGCGGCGTCGGTGGTTGCAGGGCGCATCTCGGTGGTGCTGTGGTACAGCGCCTCCTCGACCTTGACGTAGTCCGACACGTCGCGCTCGAACCGCGTGCGGGACATGCGCGCCTGTCTTGCTTTGACAGCGCTGCGCTCCATCACGCTGTGGCGCTCCTTCATGTTTATGTACTCTTCATCGTCGAAGTAGCCGCTCACAGGGAAGCGCGGCGCTGCCTCGGTGAACGTCGCCGAGCTTGGCGTAAGCGGTGCGCTGAAGCGCTTCTCCTGTGCTATGAACGCGAAGGCCGGCGGGGAGAGGGCGGGTAGCGCGGTGCTTTGCGGGCGTGGGCGCAGGGTGTCAAAGGTGGTGCCGTTAAGTTGTGCCTGTGTTTGGGAGGGTAGAGTGGACTGCAGCGCTCGCGGCGACAGAGGCGAGGTGAGGTCTGCGACGACATCGAACATCCAGTTACCGAAAGTCGACACCGGCCTTAGCGCAAGTGCGTGCTGGGTGGTAAGCAGTCCGGGCGCCTCGCCGACGATGCCGGCTGCGGACAGCAGTGGGGATCCGACGTCAGCGGGGGCGGTCCATTCGCCGTCGCCGCCCTCCGACTCGCCCTGAAATTCGGCCATCCTTCTGAACTCCCCGCGGATGCCTTTGTAGTAGGCGTCCTTCCCGCGGTCCTCCAAATCCGCGCGGTATCCTTGTTCCACTACACGGCCGTCCTTGAGAACGTAGACGAAGTCCTCCACGGAGATCTGGGACAGGTCGTGGGTGATGACGATGGTCGTTTTATTCCGGCGCCAGTGTTTGATCGCCTCGAAGACAAGGATGCGCGAGGTGGGGTCCAGCGCGGAAGTAGCTTCGTCTGCGGTGTAATGGATGATCAATAAAGCAACGATACCATAATATAAAAGGCACATACCGAGAATGAGAACCGTGGGGTTCCTCAATCGTGCCCTCGCGATAGCCAGGCGCTGCTTCTGGCCGCCGCTGAGGCCGACACCGTTACCCCCACCAAGGATAGTCTCGTATCCCTGGGGCAGGTCCCTAACAAATTCGTGCATTAGCGCCGCGCGGCAGGCCTCCTTGACGTCCTTCGTCGTGAGACCGCGCGTGGAATGGCCTTGGACAGCCGCTGCGATGTTCTCCCACACGGTCTTCCCCTCAAAAATCACGACGCCTGCAGCACCCTGCTGCCCGACGCACGCAACCTGGTCGCGGAGCCATGCGTCGTCGAGCGTACTTAGGCGCCGCCCGTCGAGCTCAATGGTCCCGCGTTGAGGGATGTACATCCCGCACAGGAGATGCGCGATGGTAGATTTTCCGGAGCCCGACGAGCCGACGACGAACGTGAGCTCCTTCGCGGGGAGGAAAAGCGAGACGCCCGACAGGACATCGACGTCCGGGCGCGACGGGTACGCGAACGTCACGTCGTGCAACACAAGGTCGCCCTTGCAGGTTGCCGGCGTGAGACCAGCAGGGCGGTGCGTAGGCGCGGGCGCCTCGGTGTCGATAAGCGCGACAAGCGCGGCCGCGGCAGATTTCCCCTTCGCGAGCACGATGAGCTGCGGGATGCACGTCTGCAGGCTGCTCGTCGCGATGAGGCACGCCCAGAAGACCGCCATCACGTCGCCCGCGCTCGCCTTTCCCTCGCGCACAAGTTTGCCGCCGAACCAGAAGCCCTGCACGAACATGGCCATCACGACGAACTGCGAGGCGCCAGATGCCGCGCCCCACAACCGCGTCAGCTTCCGCGCGGCGAGGTGAAGGCGGCCGAAGACCGCACTTGCGCGTGTGTGCTCGAGCCCAGCGGCGTTGAATGCTTTGACGGTGTCGATCGCAGCGGCCGCGCGCTCGATGACGGTGGCAGCGATTCCGGTCTGCTCGCGCTCTTGCACCAGAAGTGGGGCCGCGAAGGCTTGCGAGAAGGCTTGAATAAATGTGAGGAGCGGGACGGCAGATAGGATGACGAGGGTCAGCGACCAGGACCGCATGAACGCGAGGATTAGGGCGGCGACGACGGTGGTAAGATATTGAACAAGCATTCCGGATGCCAGAGACGATGCCATGCGGACTTCGTCTGTCTCCCTATTGACTAGACATGAGCACCCTAAGGAGTTGTAAGAGAGATAAATTACATACCGAGAAAATTTCGCCATGAGCCCTCCTGCGCCGATTGTGCCGTCCGCCTCGTTCGTGGTGGGGCTCTGCGTGTCGAACCAGACCATCGGCTTCTGCGACACAGCAACATAGACCGCTCTGCGGAGCGCCCTGACATTTATTTCGCCCGTCCAGATCCACAGGCAGGAGGTGACGCTGCTCAGTGCCAACGAACCAACGGCAAGACCTATCAGTTCCAGAGCGGTTGTTCCCACATTGTGTAGCAGGGCGTCTTTGGCTTCTTGGGGTGGATTGGGGGTCAGAGGGAACTGAGAGAAGGCGTCGAACGCTTGGCCGACGACAAAGGTCATGAATGGGGCGATACCGCCAGCAATCATCGACGAAAAGACGGCAGGGATGAGGAGGAACGCGACGTGTCGCCGCGAGATGAAAGAGAAAAGTAGGTGGAGGGATGGTGCAACCTGTGGTGCGTCGACTTGCTCCGACATTTCGGTGTCGACGTCTGGAGAGAGATCCTTCTTCCCTACTGTGGATGATACTGAAGAGCGCGAGCTGAAGTCGGGATCGTGATCATGGGGAGGGATATGAGAAATATGCGACATCGTAGACAAAGCGAAGAGTGTGGCTTTGTCGGGAACGAGGTTAGAGGTGCTTTGAGAGTGGCTTCACGAGGACAGAAACGCTGCGCATTGTTTATGGGCCAACAAAAGAGAGCACGCATTTTGAAAGGTTCGTCGAGACAATGGGCGAACAATAGGCGACGAACTCATTGTCTATCGTGGGAAAAACATGTAGCGTGTCCAAACAATCGCTAGATGTTAGCCAAACAACGGCCAAACGGCGGCCAACCACTTAAGCTTAAGGATAAACGGTGGAGAGCGACGAGCGTGCAAAGTTTCGAGTGAATAGATTCTGAGAGCGATATAGTACCCTGTCGGTGACGTCTGTATTTCCTGTCGGAAGTTGGTCAGAAGTGTTGACATTAGGGATAAAAATAACTTTGATCTTCAAAATCTATTTATAGACACGCCTCCATCGCCGTCATTGTCAAAATTGCTGGGCAGGTTGCATCGATTGAAACAGAAATTTGAACACTAGCTCCCAGTATATTACAGTATATATGTAGCACAACCTTAACTACCTCACAGCCAAAATCTATCCGGTGGCTCACCAGGCACGACTCTGAACTCGTGAGTCATGAGTCACAGTTCATCTTCTGTCACCTGTGTGAATTTCGCGAAAAATGGTTGGCGCACAGCGTCTCCTCCTACGTAACAAAAGATACCAGTGCCCCATGCAAGGATTGAACTTGCGACCTCAAGTTTGCGTGGTCCGAAGACCACTCACATCGGAGACATGAGACTTGCGTTACTGCCACTGAACTAATGAGGCGATGGATGGATGTGAATTTTCCATTACATTAGGGCTTGGGCATGGGCCTGATGTGAGCAGGCTAGGATATATATCCACAACTCTTAACAGAGAGCAATACGATATCAGGTAAGAGGTAATGGACATGCAATACCTGTATCGCTGATTCCTGAGCGAGTCATGGCCAACGGCGGGAGTATTTAATACCTGTATTTCAAATACACCCGACGATAAAAATAGATTCAAGCAAGTAATTTAGACGCTGGACCAACGCTGGCCGCCATGGAGGGCACACTGGTACATAGCTTCCAACAGAAATTTGACCTTCAGCTTTCCATAGATTATAATATGCTTGTAGGAAGGATGCACTTATCCCAGTGCTTAAATCACGTCAGTGGCGCAGCACGCGTGAGTCATAGTTCAATCCTTCTGACATCTATGATCTGTGAATTTCGCGAAAAAAGATTGGCGGACTGCTTCTCCTGCTACGTAAAACAAAAGATACGTGCCCCATGCAAGGCTTGAACTTGCGACCTCAAGTTTACGTGGTCTTGGACCACTCACATCGAAGACATGAGACTTGCGCTGCTACCACTGAGCTAATGAGGCGATGGCGGTCTTGGCAGCCTTGTGTTTGCCATTACGCTGGGTACGGGGTTGATGTAGAACCGGCGAAGAGCAACTTAATCATACCTTGGCTAGAGGGGTGATGAGCTCAATACGATAGCATTGAGACTGCAGGAAGTAGAGGCCAGTATTTACCTTTTATTTACCCGTAGTTACTTAAACAAAATGCTTGGCATAATTCCAATCTATTTTTGGACGCGGCCTGTGATTTGACAATGCCAGCCACGGAGGCTAGGTTCGTAATCACGCATCGTTTCAAACAGAACTCTCAACTTGAGCTGCCTATTTATTAGAATGTGTGTAGCAGAGGAGTACTAGTTACCCTAGTGCCAAATTCAGGCGATGGCGCACCGCCGCGCATGAGTCACGATTCATTTCTTGTGTGAATTTCGCGAAAAAAAGTTGGCGCGCTGCTTCTCCTCCTACGTAACAAAAGATACCAGTGTCCCATGCAAGGATCGAACTTGCGATCCCAGGTTTACGTGGTCCTAGACCACCCACATCGAAGATATGAGACCTGTGCTCCAACCAGCTGAGCCAATGAGACGATGGTAGGCATCCGTAGGACAAGATAATGGGCTATCACGTCGGCGCCATCTCAATGTGATAATACAAATACACACCCGAGTACTTATAATTGTCGAGACTCTTAGCGCGATATGGTTTCATGTAAGAGGCATGTAAGTAACGCCTGTGGCGATTCCGAGTCATGGCCAACACAAGTGTTTATCAGTATTTATACACGTTGGCGACAAAAATAGCTTGGCAGGATTTCGATCTATTTTTGGACGCGACCAGTGGTTTTGACCATGGCCGCCATGGAGGTTGGGTTAGTAAAGAGGCATCGTTTCAAACAGAACTCTGAACTTCAGCTTTATGTTTATTATGATCATTGTATGATTTTGACGGGGATGTAGCCATCCCAGTGCTGCAATGCAATCGGTGGTTTAGTGCACCTGCGGCATGAGTGTGACTCATTGGCTGCTTGATTCCCGCGAAAAAGGGTCGCCGAGCTACTTCTGCTCCTACGTAAAACAAAAGATACCTGTCCCATGCAAGGCTCGAACTTGCGATCCCAGGTTTACGTGGTCCTAGACCACCCACATCGAAGATATGAGACCTGTGCTCTAACCAGCTGAGCCAATGAGACGATGGTAGGCCGCCGTTGGAGAAGATAAAGTGCCACCACGTTGGGCGCAAGCTCAGTGAACGATACATAGTTATTTTACGTTCACTTACCGTCTCCTTCAATATATAGAAGGTGTCTTGTAAAATAGTACAATGCGTGCAGCATGTTGAATGTATCGTGTTCCTTTTCCACAGCAAAGCAATCACCTTAAAGCTTTACATATGTCATCAATATGTATTTAATATTGCAGTGGTTGAGTTTATGTGTGCATCTTAAGGTTCATAGCCGTACTTCGACCAAGTTCAAATAACTGGGGACCTTTCTCCCTTTTTTCGGGGTATCTTACAACTCGCAACCTGTACGGCAGAGACTTTATTTGTACGCAGCCTCAACCCAGCGCGCAACCAGCGCGCCCTTTCATAGGGCCTTGACTCTCGAGAATACGGCTTTCTTTGTGATGCATTACCTTTCCGAGCTGAAAAGAATGTGGGGTTCCATCATCGAAAGGCGACTTGGCTGCGCAAGCACGGTCGTCGAAAAGCACAGATACATTCTCCTTTGAATACTCTCGCCGCTGTGTATGGAGCGGGAGACCTATACAGCCTCGGTCGGGAAAAACAAGTGAGCACGGAGTATCGGAAATAAGGCTCCAACCATATTATATGTGTATGTGACAAAAAGTGAAAATATACAGATACGGTTAATAGTGTGTATTATACTGTATATATACAGTATACAGTAAAAATATACAGTTAGCAAACAGAATATTTTTAAGCCTGATTCCTATGAATATTCCACTCCAATAGGGTGTCAATAATGTATGGAGAGGACTCCAAGCTGACTTCAAGCCAAACATTTGACAAAAGAGTTTGAAAACACCGTCGAAATTCACCATCCGGCTTACACCCGGCCCAATCCGTCCGGATCAAAGCTGACAAATCTACAAACATAGGTCGCACGCAAGTCCGGCAGTCTCTTCTCGCACCCCTTTTTGTCAAATTCATGTTTGATTGCAGAAGGGGAGGTTCCACAAGGCAAGGCAGGTRCTCAGTCCACCATTTAGAGGTGATATTTCAGGGATTTAGATGTAATTTCAACAACTGTATATATCACTATATACCATATGTGTATGTGTATATCCGCATTTTGGGATTTCGGGCATACATATACACATATACATACAAAAAGAACCATATATATACAGTATACATATAATATGGTTGGAGCCTTAATCGGAAATGATGATATTCTAATTTCATATCTTCTGTTCGCAAAATAAAGGATAAAAAACTATTGGTGCCCCCTGCAAGGCTCGAACTTGCGACCTCAGGATTACATGGTCTGGGACCACTCACATTAAAGATATGAGACCTGCGCTCTAGCCAACTGAGCCAAGGAGGCGATGTGCTACGTGTAAATTGTGTTTGTCTCATCCAACGGGCGCTCATTTCAGCCACGTGATGTGGATAATCAACAACATGTTCGCTGCGTGGCACGTGCTGCTCGTTCTCTCCGTCGACGACGACGACGGACGCCGACGCTCTGCAGCGCGACGTACGCAACGGAGCCATGTCTGGCGCTTTCGACATCTCGAATGCTTCCACATCGCAGCCCGAGCTCTCGCTGGGCTCGCTAGCCAGCTTTGCCGCCACACCGAGCCGCTCTGCATTCCGCGTGCCCTCCGCCTCGTCGCGTACCACTGCACAATCATCGGCTCTCGTAGCCACTCCTCCTCCTGTCTCTGCATTTTCGCGAAGGAACGCTAGCACTTTGGACCCGGACGACCCCACAGCCGATGACTCCAAGTGGGCCGACGCCGCGCCCGAAACGCCCGCCGCTTCCGCGCGGTCCGCGAAACGCGGCGGCAAGGGCGCGGCGGGGGTGACGCTGACGTTGCGCGACCAGGAGAAACACATCGACGCACTCAAGAAGGAGAACTTCGACATCAAGCTCCGCGTGCACTTCCTCGAGGAGCGCCTCGCGCAGCTCGCGCCGGACCAGATCGACGCCGCGCTCAAGCAGAATATATCTCTCAAGATCGAGGTGCAGCAGCGCGGCATGGAGATCAAGAAGTTGAAGAAGCTCGTACTCAGTTTAGAGCACGAGCTCGAGCGCCTGCAGCGCGCTGGGGCGGGTACGGGGGCCGGTGCGGGACGCGAGAGGGAGAGGGAGCTCGAGGACAAGCTCGAGGAGCGCGAGCGGGAAATTCAGGAGCTCAGGCGGCGTCGGGCGGGGTACGAAGACGACGCGCTGCGGGAGGCACAAGAGCGCAACGCGGAGCTCGAGGAGGATCTCGAAGCTGCGCGGGCCCTCATCGAAGAGAACGCGGACGAGATCGAACGCATGCGCGACGTGCTCGAGCGGCGTGGGGACGAGTCGGCGAACGAGAGCATCGGCGGGCGGAAGCGGCGGTTGAAGGAGCTCGAAGAAGACAATCAGGAGCTGCGCGCCCAGCTCACAGAGCAAGCGGAGCTCGCCGCCAGGCGGGAAGAGGAGAAGGAGGATCTCGCCGACGAGATCGATGTGCTGCGCTTGGAGCTAGAAGAGGTCCAGCGTCGGCGGGAAAACGAGAACATCGAACGGAGCGAGAGTCGCGCGCAGGTGCTCGAAGAAAGGGACCAGCGCGAGGCTGTCGAGGATGAGATGAACACAATGCGCGACAAGCTCGCCGCGCTATTGATCGAGCTGCAGCAACGGGAGGACGAAAATGACCGGAAATCGCAGGAGATCGACACTTTGGTGGGCGAGCATCAACGAATTGTGATGGTCGTCGAGGAGGAATGGAGGGGCGAAGTCGAGGAGGCACGGACACAAGTGGACCAGCTGAAGGATGTAAGCGTTTCCATTTCCTCTGTGAAATATTCGCTGATCGTAGTAAATAGATCCTCGCAGACAGGGAGACGGAATCCAAGGACCTGCGGGAGCACATCAATGATCTCGAAGCCGCCTCAAACGACCTGCACGCTAAGTTCGAGTCCGCCCTGGCTCACCTTGAACAAGAGGCCGAAAACAAGGACGACGAGTTGGAAAATCTTCAGCAGACCAACGACAAGCTGGGAGAACAGCTATGTCAACTTGAAGATGAGATGGACCGCATGAAAGAGGACTACGAACGTGCGAGAGATGAGGAAGCTGCAGAGCGAGAGAAACTGGAAGCAGTCCAAACGGCATTGAAGGAGGTACATCGTTTCTCTCTACCGTCATTATTTGACCCAATATAACAATCGTTCTACAGAAAATCGCCGATCTGAAGGACGAGCTCCAGCAGCGCATCGACCTGTACGACTCCCTCTCCAAGGACGTTCACGCGCACCGCGAGCGCCAAGAAGAGCTCGCCGCGCACGTCGAGGATCTCGTGGGCGAGCTCCAGCGCGAGCGCACTGCGCGCGAGCAGCTCGCGGCCGACTTCGACGCTGCGGACCAGGCGCACGACACCGCCCTGCGGCACGAGAAGCGCACGCTCGAGGCCAAGGAGTCCGCGCTGCAAAGCGCGCTCGCGGACCTCGCGCGCGCGCAGAGCCTCCTCGCACAGCGCGAGGCCGATCTCGCCGCCGTGCAGACCGCGCTGCAGACGCTCGAGACGGAGCGCAAGCGCCTCGGCGAGACGCACACGACCGCGCGCTTCTCGCTGCAGCTCGAGGCGGACCGGCTGAAGCGCGACCTCGAGCGCCTCGAGGATGAGCTCGCGCGCGCGCGCCGCGAGCTCGACGACCGCGAGGGGCAGACGCGCGACCGTGGCGCGCTCGTGGACAAGTTGCATGCGGAGAACCGGGACCTTGCCACACAGCTCGCGGCGCAGACGCAGGCACGACTGAACGTCGCGGAGAAGCTCGATGCGGTTATGAGTAGCCTGAAGGCAGCGGAGGGCGACGTCGCGGGGTACAAGGCGAAGGTGCTCGAGCTCGAGCAGCGGCTTGGGAAGGACCAGCGGTCGTTGATGAGCGTCGAGAACCAGTACCGCGACCAGCTCACGGAGCGGAATACCCTTTTGCTGACGATATACCAGTATCTCGATAAGATTCTTGGCGTGGACAAGACACCCGTGAGTGGTGGCTCTTTTTCCTTGGGCTACTCTAACCGATCTACAGAAAAAAGGCACGCAAGGCGAGACGAAGCCGTTCACGAACTTCAGCGTGTTCCACGACAACCTCATCACGCGGCTGAAGGCGCTCAGCCAGATCCAGATGGACTTCGAGAAGCGCTGCAAGGAGGTCGAGGCGCGTTTCGCCGATAAGTTCACCGACATGCGCAGGCAGCTCGACACGCGGTGGAAGCAGATCGACAAGTTCGAGAGCAGCCTCAAGACCGTCGCCGAGACCAAGGCGACGTGGAAGCGCAAGTTCGCGCAGAAGGAAGGCGAGCTCGACGCGATCAAGGTACGGCGCCCTCATTCCCATTCCCATTTTCGTTCAGTATGTGCTGATCTGTGGAGTAGGCGACGAACATCGAGATGGCGAACCAGCTCTCCGGGATGAAGCGCCCGGGCGGGAGCGACGCGATGGAGCTGCGCTCGATGGCCGCGCGCGCGGCGAACGCCGAGCGCCGGTTGAACAACGCGCAGAACCAGCTCGTCGCGAGCGAGGAGAAGATCGCGGCGATGAGCCAGAAAACGATGTCCGCGGACAGTAAGTGGGAGGCACGTGTCAAGGAGTACGAGGCGCGGCTGAAGGCCGCAGAGGAGCGCGTGAAGCGGGAGCGCCAGGGCAGCAAGGAGCGGGTGGCGGAGCTGGAGAACAACCTCAAGTGCGTAGCTTTTTCTTTTTCTTCGTTTCAGGACTGCCTGAACTGACATATGTTTCCAGGAGTATCCAACGACAACTGGAACTTGCCCAGAAACGAAATAATCAACTTAACGACGTTATGGACTCGAACAAGGCCTCCGGGACGAACTCCCCCGCACGCTAAGCGTGGTTTCGGTCAACTACGCTGCACTCCCTTTCCGTCCTGCTCTGCTTCTACTTCCCCTGCATGGTCCCGCTGATCTCCCGTCACGACACGCTTTCGCACTCAATGTATACCTTATAATTTCGCGTAGAATTTGTACTAAATAACTGATTGCGCCCTAATGCATTCACTGTGTAATAGGATCGTATGAGCATGCGTTTTGCATGCGTTGCGGAAACAGACTGCACGACATACAGCCTGTTGAGTATGGCTGCTCCTCATGGTACGTTGGATAGTGTTCGATAGGTGTTTAATTGGATGACTTTGGGGCGATTCCAGCCCGAGACGCTACGCAACCAAAAGTCATGTTAGAGGGTACGGAACTGGAATGTTAGATGGAGTCGTGCTCTTCGTAGAACTCGAACTGGACTGCTGAGCTTTTGAGGAGCTGCGGAAATCGATCCTGAGTCAACCTGTGAAAAAGCGCTTGGATCTGCTCTTCTTCTCGGGCATCAGAGAACCACGAGAGCTTCACTGTTACTCGATGCAACATGGGGAAGGCACCTTGAACAGTCAATAAAGCGTCGAGGTCGGACCAGTCGTCCGCTTCCGTGCGACAGGGTTCGTCTGCTCCAACTAGGACGGAAATATCCAGCTCTTCAAGGACGTTGTTCCCAGAAAGTTGTCGCAGCTCCAGGGTAAGTCCACACAAAGGTGAATAGTGGGCCTGACCAACAGCAAGATGTAACTTGACTGATTTAAGTGTTCGATAGGCTTTAGCTGCTAGGCTTGAACCTAGTCCAGCCAGCAATAACGGGCCGTTAACTTGGCAAAAAAAGCACGTTTAATTTGACGATGCACTGTTAAGATAACATAAATCACGTACAATCTATGAAGAGTGATTGAAGCTGCTTGGCTGCCTTCAAAAGTTCATTTATTTGTGAGGCCCCACTGGCATCACAAATGTTGAGGGAGGCGTTCTCAAGATGACTGAAATCGATGATTGGGTCGATTGCGGCGGGGCCCGGTGGGCGCATAAGGACCGAAAGAGCGGAAATGGACCCGTTAGTATTTAATGAGGTTGGGGTAGGAATTGTAGAGCGTGTGATGGTCTGACCGACATAAGAGGTCGTATTGGATACATTATGAATCGAGATACCGGTAAGGCCGCTGCAAAGGGAGAGAGCGACAAGCGGAAAGTTTTTTATGAAGAGGAGATCGAGGTGAGTTACTGTAGGCAGCTGTATCAGCGATATAAGTAGTGACTGTGTATGATCTTGCAGTACATTCCAGTCGTACTCTCCAGTCATCGGAAGGAGTGAGACCGACTGCAGGGAGGCTGAGCGACTGCGTAGGACCTCCAGTATGTCAATTATATGTTGGCTGAGGGGTGTCCTAGTGTCGACAAAGTATGACAGTTTATTTATGCAGCGGACAGTATCGGGAGACCCAGTGAGAAAGCGAGCTAGGCCGATATTTTTTTGTGTGGCCCAAGTCGAGTCCATCAACCCGATCGA